TACACCTAAAAAACTAAACACAGAATTCCAAACCCAAATCCTATAAAAAATCAGAACTCAATCGATTTTAGTTTTAGGGAAAGGATTCAAAAAGAGTGTAATTTAAATATTGATCCAAACTAAACCTCAAAACTATATTTTTAAATATAAAATTAACTGAATTTAACAACATGTTTCTCTAATTTTGTAACTTGTGTATCTTCCAATATTTTGGGAAGTAAATAAATTATCAGATATTCTTATGAATAATTTTAAATAACTGATGTTGTTTTATAAAAAAAATATTTAGGTCTTTTCCACTTCATATTTTTTGAACAGTTTTTAAAAGATAATTTTATGTATTAAATATGTAACAATCAATCAAGCTTAGAAAAAAACTAAACCGAACCGTTCTAAAATTAAAAAATATCCGAGTAGGATTCATAAACTTGATACGTAACTCAAAACTCATATCCAACTATTATTACACTAGGTGATTTTCCCGTGCTCATGCACGGACATGTATATTTATAAAATAAATATATAATAATAATTGATTGATATTTACTTTATTTTTAAATTAATTTATAGTTTGTATGTCTAATTTATATTATAATATTATATTACTTTAACTATATAAATAATTTTAGATATGTTATAGTTAGTCTGTTTTATTGTTTTTACGGTCGATTTAGTTATCATTTAGATATATTGGATTCTATCTATTTCTCTGAATTCAACTATAATCTTTTATATTTTAAATATATTAATTTTGTGATTAATTATCTTATTTGCATTTATGCTGGTTGTTATTTTAGAAATATAATTATATTTAGTAAGATTATATATAACTTAAGATTTTTTTGTGCTTAGAAGGAAAAATAAATAAAAACTAAAGTGTGTGATTCCAAATTACATACATAAGTAACTAATGAATTTTTAGAAGTTTTTGAACTCATATCAATATTAAAATAATTAAAATATTTTATAAATTCTAAATAAATTTATGCTTTAGATAGATTGGATGGTAAACTGAAATTTATTTTAAATAATTTTAAAAATAAGGATTCTGATTTGCTTAAGTATTTTGACTATGGTTATATTAAGTTTCACAAACATAAAAAAAGAAAATTAATAATCAAAAGATATATTAAGAAAACATATAATTTTAACTATTAAAATATAATATATCTACCTCGTTAAATTACATAGTGTTGTGGTATTTTAAAATAATTGTAATTATTTTATGTTTTTATGTTTGTGAAACTTAATATAACCATAATCAGTATACTTAAGAAAATCAGAATCCTTATTCTTAAAACAGATAATTTTAACTATTAAAATATAATATATCTACCTCGTTAAATTATATAATGTTATGATATTTTAAAATAATTGTAGTTACTTGATCAAAAGATGTTTATTATTAAATTTCTTTTAGCATCTCTTAAAATATTCAGTAAAAAGTGATTGTTTTTGAGAAATTATACTATATAAGTAAAATAAAATTTATTTTTTAACTGTAATTGTAAGATATTATAGTCAAACAAATTTACTAAAAAAATAATTTCAATAATACTAATTATAAAAAATATCAATTAAACATATATCAGTTTATTTTAGTTGATTATTTTATGTAATCATCTAATAAAATAGATAGATATATACAAAAATAAATTTTATTGTTTAATATTATATTTTTTAAAGAAAAAATTAAAAAATATTTCTTTTTCTAATAGTAATATTTTTTTGTGTTAATTTTTTTTATGAAATCACACTATATACATATATTGTTTTTTTTATCTAAGAAGATATAGATATAAAGTATTTTATTACTTCAAAGGTATATTTTATGTTATTTAAAATATATTTAAATTAAATATTACTATTTTGTGAACTTTCCTTTTTTTCAGTGAACCATATTATATATACTTATATTTTCGTTTTTAAATAGTTTTGTAAATTTTATAAATGTTTCCTTTTTATTTTAAATTGTTATTTGGAAATTTTTAAAAAGGAAATAGTATTTAATTGTATTTTAATTCATTAAGGGTATCATAGTAATCAACCAACGTGAGAGTTAACGTGAGCGCAACACCTAAGAAAGTGACTTCGCAAATAGTATTATAGAGATATAATTTTATCCATTTTTACTATAAAAACATATTTTTTACGAGGGTTATATTTCTTGTTAATTCATCGCTATAGGGAAGTTACGACTTATGACAAATTAACAAGGAAACGCGAAGTAAAATGTCAATCGTAACAGACCATTTAGCGTCCTTGTAACCATTACGAGCAAACGCGATTGTCGTAAAAGACAAGGAAACGTGATCGTCATAAAAGATGAGGAAGGCTTTTGTGATAATGTCCTACTTTGTATTTCGTCGTAAAGTCCACATTTATCCTTTTGTAAAGTCCTCGTTATACTTTTTTGAAATAGCCTTGTAACATTTACGCAGACTTTACAAGTTCTTCGTTGTAAAGTCGATGTAAACTTTACATGGATTTAACTAGTATTTCATTGTAAATTCAAATTTTACTAGGAGTTTACATCATTTTTATATTATATATTTTTAATAAAATAATTACAATTATTCAAAATTTTAAAATATTTAAATTCTAAAAAAATATTAAAAGGTTTAAAAAACCATATAAAAATCATAAAATAGTATTTATAATACAAAGCGTAAAAAATAAAAAAGTTACGGAATCGTCAAAGTAGTTGGGGTTGCTACTCAGTTCCAGAGTGGTTCAATCTGTGGGTTGGGAAGAAGGTTGCTGCATTCCGAGAGCCGCTCGTCTAGCATCCAACGTTCTCTGCAAAACTGGGTTTCCTACCGCCATAGCATCCAACAAACCTTCAAGTGAGTCCATTTGAGCCCGCAACTCAGAAGTCTCTTGCTCCCGTCTCGAAGAGTATAACAAAGTCGCCTTACGACTTTGTTGACGGAACCTATTCCAACCGTCCGTCTCTTCTTTCTAGGAGCAACCTTATTCAAAAAAAAATATATTGATATAGTTAATGATATAAATAAATATAAATAAATTAAAATATATTTAAAAAATTATCTCTTGGAAGATCCGGTCAACCTCTTATGTAGTCAATTTGATGGGAAATCCATCCTCTTCAATCCGATTAGCCACTTGATGATAGAGTTTCTCCAAGCGTGGATCAACAAAAAATCCATCTAGTGTGACGTAAGTCATCTTAAATAGTTCACCCAGAGATGGTAAAACTCTGGTCTTCTCAGCCTACAAACCAAAAGAATAAATTAGATATAGTTTAAAAAAGAAAACTAACTAATAAAAGAAACAAAAAATAATAATATTATATATTAAAAATAAAACTTACAACGTCTAGACGGATCCCAGCGTAGGATGTTTTCCATGTTCTATAAAGCATGGGAAAATTACCATCTTTATCCCTTGTTCTCCGGGAAGTAGAGCACGAGTTGGACTTGCGGATCAAGAATGGTAACTTCCAAAAGGCAATGAGGTCATCCCATACATGGGTCGAGAGCTCGTTAGGCTTCCCTTCATACCCATAACTTTCCCACTTGTCCTTCCAATCCAAGACGGTGTTATAAAGGCGGGGTTTTGCTTTTGCAACAAATTCCTCCTTCACCCTCTTGTTGATCGCTATGGACCAGTGCCACCTTTGCTAAAACAATTAAAAAATTAAAATTTTATAATAAATAATTAAATATGAAATTTAAAGTTTTAAAATAATTTACTGCAAAACATTTAAACCACGTCGTCTTAACCTTGTCTGAGTCATAGTTCAATTCAGATAGACTTCAAAAAAATACTCCTTAATCACGTTCAAAACACTCTAGCTGACACGGTTTTTGACTCCGAATCTGAAAATAAGACCAATTTATTTAGAAATTAGTTAATATGATGTAATATTTAAAATGGAAAAAAACTTACCAATAAGTACCCCATGATGGATCAGAATCCAAAATATCTAAACCTTAATGCCCCTGTTGGATAAGAAGATCCGCCATTGTATATCTAGCATATGGTGCATATAGAGGCAGTTTGTACTGCGTAAGAATGACTGACCACAAATAATATTATCTCCCAAATATTCCAAATGGACTAAATCTGTCTGTGCATTACCCAAGATAGACAGTCTGAATATTTTTAGCGAAATTTGGGTGTACCTTGGTGAAATGTTTCCCCGCTCTTGTATCTGATGGATGAGCGATCTCGCTATCCCTCTAAACTTGTTCAACATGCCACCTCATAGCTTTGGAAATCCTATCAGATTGATATAATCTTTTCAACCTGTCTATAATTGGCAAGTATCACATCCTTTGGTATGGTACCCTATTTTTCCAACGTTCTTGCAGTTTGAATCGTGGCTTCTTGTATAATCGACACTCTTGTAGCTTTTCATCGTCTCTCAAGTATATCATGCAATTGTCGATGCAAACATCTATAATCTCCGAAGGCAACCCAAAACTATATACCAATTTCTGAATCCCATAATAAATTTAGCTTAAATGTTATCTTCTGACAAATACTCTTTTAACAACTCGGTTCATGCATCCATACAATTCTCATGTAAATTATGATCTGTTTAATATTCATCATTCTAACTGCTAGAGACAATTTAGAGAGATCTTCTCTATAACCAGAGTCGACTGGTTGATTTCCAGCATCTAACATTTCATAAAACCTTTTTGCATCCAAATTAGATTCTTCAATATTTCTAGTTTCATCAGCTATTGTTGTAGTAGTCTCTAAAAATGCATCAGTAATCATGTCGTGAACCCTATCATGATCTACCATCTGTTCCTCCTGATGGTAATTATATTCATTATGAAAATGATTTGGTTTTCACTATTACCAGCATCTTGAAAATTACTATTATTACTAATAGCTTCATCCCCTATATATTAATTGAGGAACATTTGAAAAGATGTAACCTCAATTTTGTATTAATTAAAAGAGGCCCCAATGCATAGGTGTCATTCAATTAGGTAGTCAATTAAATTCAATTGAAAAATAAGTAAGTCCACATTGGATTTTTATAGGTTGCTAGATACATTAGTTAGTCAAACTATATGATATAATGATATGATATGCTATTTTCTTTCCTTAAATAAAACCTACGGAATTACCATAATTGACTAATATATATATGACAATTAATGATTCTAATAATAAAGATTTGATAATAATTTATATCTCCTCCATCATTTTTTGTTTAATTTTATATTAGTAAAATAAATTAAAAAATTAAACTAGCTATAAAATTAAAATTTAGATTTTTTCGTATATGTTATATTTTGAATTTTCAAAAACGACAATAAATGACTAAAACTATTAAAATTATTATGTTAAAAATTAATGATCAATGGTTTAACATTTTTATTATAAGAAGATACACATGATTTTAAAACCATATGAGTGAATTATATCATTTAATAATAAAACAAATATATATATATATATATCCCTTTTATATTAAAGGAGAAACATTTAAAAAATTGTAACCTCAATTTTGTAATAATTAAAAAAGACCTCATGCTTAGGTGTCATTCAATTAGGTAGTCAATTACATTCAATTGAAAAATAAGCAGGTCCACATTCGATTTTTATATGTCGCTAGATACATTCGTTGGTCAAATTATATGATATGATATTTTTGATAGAAGCATTTATGATTGTTCCCCTATATATAATTACTATTTTATTTTCTTTCCATAAATAAAACCTACGGAATCACCATAAATGACTAATATATATATATATATATGACACTTAATGATTGTTCCCCTAGATATAATTACTATTTTATTTTATTTCCATAAATAAAACCTACAGAATTACCATAAATGGCTAATATATATATATGACACTTAATTATTATAATAATAAATATTTGATAACAATTTATATATCCTCCATCATTTTTCTTTAATTTTATATTAATAAAATAAATTAAACAATCAAATTAGCTATAAAACTAAACTTTATATTTTTCGTATAGGTTATATTTTGAATTAAAAAAACGGAATAAATAACTAAACTATTAAAATTATTATGTTAAAAATTAATGATCAATAGTTTAACATTTTATTATAAAAGATATACATTATTTAAAAACTATATAAGTAAAAATTATCATTCAATAATAAAACAAATATATATATATATATATATATATATATATATATATATATATATATATATATATATATATATACAGATTAAACTATATACCATATAAGATTACATAAATATTTTAATTTCAAAATTTTCAATAAATTTTCAAGAACATTTATAAATTATAAACTTATTAAATTTTTCACATTGAAAATTTTTGTTATCAATGATTTAAATATCTTAGTTATTTTTTTAATTTTATATTTTTAAAAGATATTAACAATCGATAATATGGTTATTTTGGTATATACCATACAAACCGAGTGGATGTGATTTTATAAAAACCATAGGATTTGGATATGGTTTGATTTATAACCGATTAAACTGAAACATGTAAATATGTATATATTTATAACGACGCATGAATATCTATTTGTTACATGAGTTCAACTATAATTATAATTTGTAAATAGCTAACAATTTATTACAACTGAGACTTCTTATTTTGATCTTTTGCTTTTTTAACAATAACTAAGTTGAAGTAAAGATTATAAATTTGATGGACAACAATTAGTTGAAATTCTTTACAACTTTTTTTAATCTTTAAACAAACAGAGTTGTGTTCAATTGAAAACATATTGGTTTGATGAACACTAAATATGGAAGAATATAAAAACTTTTCTTTCATGCTTCTGTTTTGTTTTTTATTTTTATTTTCAAAATTTAGTGTTTTGATATTAATTCTAGATTTGATCATTTTATTAGATGATAGAAGTCTTTCTGTTTTTTATTCTTTTATTTAAATATATAATATTTTTTAATAAATGACTCTGTGACAATATGACTCTAAATATGATCATATTATATATTTGTATAATATATAATAAATCTCAAACTAATAATTATGTTTTTTGGTATAAAATTGAATAAACTGAAAATCGATGGTATATAAACCAAATCAAACTGAAGTACATATAGATTTAGAATATTAGTTATATTTTAATGATTGAAATACCAAAAATCGAGCCGAACCGAAACCCGATATCTGGATTGAACACCTCTAATCCGAATGAAACCGAACTATTGTTTCATTTTTCAAAACCTAATAAAAATAATAACTTCATCCCGCGCAAGGCGCGGGTCTTATCCTAGTTTTCACTATAATCCTCTCCATGTTGAAACCAAATATAGTATTGTGGTGTAAAACCTCTGTTTACAAAATATTTCCATGCAGTTTTACTACGGGTAAATTTTGAGTTCTTGCACTTCCGACAAAAACATAACATCTTACAGCTTTCCTGCATGGTCGGTGTACAGCCTGTGTGATACATGAATATCTTTAGCACGCTAAGAAATGCACTTAAAATCTTTGTGTGTATACATCCAATTCCGTAACTCAAAAATATTACTATTATCAGAAAATTTTCTTGATTTTTCTCAAGTATTTGCTTTGTGTGTTTGTTTTGAATGGGAATAGCCATATATATATATATATAAATTTGCGAGTTTGACTGGTGAAAGTGTAACTACAGATTTATAAAGAAATGTTTTACTAGGATTTTACAAGTCTTTCACATTTTATTTACAATGTATTTATAACGAAATATGGTTCGTCGTAAACGCTTTGTAAAAATGCATGGAGATTAGGACAAATTTCTTTTTCCTTATATGTACGTTGTAAATTTACATTAACTTTATGACTAAATTTTTTTTTCGTAATTTTACGATGACTTTACAAAGAAATTCTATTTTATCGTAAAGTTGTAATTAGTTATTCTTTAATTTACGAAGAATATTTTTTCTCTTAATTTTTTTTCGTTAAAGTCATGTTTTAAGTGTCTTAACTAGATTTTGACTCTCATTTTAAGAATACGGGATATTTTCTATTTTAAAAATGTAATCAACACATTAAAAGTATTTGAAGTAAATTATTATATTTAAACTCAGACGCTTGATTTAACTTAGTTAGATCAACTTACTTATAAGATTTTCAATGATTTTTCCATCTAGATTGTGTTATTTTTATTATAGGTATAATTACTTATATTAATTTATAATTTATAAAGTAATTTATATATTAAGTTATTTATCTATATTTATTGATTGGTATAATTATTTAGTTATGAGTTATTTTTAATATGTTTTAATAATATTTGAATATTAGAAATAAATGTGAAAGATTTGAATATACAGCTAGATATTTAATTTCTTAAAAACATGTTAGTCAATATAAACCAAGCATACAACACGGCGTTGATCAAATGTAGTTTGAGTATATAACTATATCTTTAAAACATTAGTATAGTTTTATTAAAAAAATCGAAGAATAAAACTAAATAAAATCTTGATAGAATATAAGATATATGTAAATAGGTATCATGTATTAATACTGCAATACGATTGATTTATATTTCTGGTTAAAAATAAATAATTAAAGTATAAATGTAGGAATGACATAATTTGTAAATAATTTAAAAAACAATGATAGATTATGATTTAATAGTATAGATTACATTTAAGTTTCAACGTATGGGACTACAACACGTGGATGAAAAAAATAGGGACCAACTTAGGTGACTATTCCATATTTGGAATCGGAATGGCTTACGTGGAATCCACCAAAATGGTGTGTAGATAGAAGTCAAATGCATCTATTGCTCTAAGCTAAAACAAAAACCTCATTGAGAAGGAATATAGGAAAGCTAGCACAGCCGTTCGATCAACGAGACAAAACTTAGTGTGGAGAATAAACTTCCGATCCGATTCTTACAGATATATTATACACACGAGTGCACGAGATCACCACACTCTTAAACTAAAAAAATTAAATAATTTCAGAAGACACGTTCCTCTTCTTACCAAACCGACTTTGTATAGTTTCTCTTCTTTTTTATTCCATTGCACAAATCGAAAACAAACGACAAGATATTTTCTAACAATAAATAAAAAATATCTATCGACTTGCTATTTATTTCTTGTTTATTTTTGTCTCAGGTTAATTAAGTTCGTAATATGAGCGATCCAATGGGGGAGACTGGATTTTCTGGAGAATCGACCGGGATGGTCTTCTCGGAGACGGAGATGGCGGCGGCTGAACAGCTTATGCAGCTGAGCGAGGAAGAAACGGTGAGCTGTAGCAGCAGCACCGTCGGAGAAAGTGGAGGAGGTGGCAAAAGAAGACACGAAGATGTTAGCTCGAGGATCGGAAACGACGGCGTAAAGGAGAATTGTAATCTTGCCTTGGAGATGAAGACGAAAATGAAGAAGATGAAGGAAAAGAAGTTTCGATCTCTCAAGAGTATTTACATGGCAACGAAGGAGATTAGGGATTAATCAATGTAATAAAGGGGGACGGATAAGTACATGTTAATTGCGTTTGTTAATCGTTCTTAGTAACCCGTGTCAATGGTTTTGTGTGTATATGTAGTGTTTAATCTAACGTTGGAGTTTGAGAGTTGTGATAATAGTTTATGAAGCTTTTGAGATGAAAATTGTAATATATATATATATATAATACTCACATGAAATATCTTTGAAATTTTCTTTAACACTGTATAATTATATTATTATAAACTATAAAATTATTTTAGATCATTTTATTTGTTTTACGAAGATTATTGCATCATAAACCGCCATTGGCAGGATTGATTTCATCATGATAGAGATCTTTTGTAAACATTTTTCATATTCACTTTTTCTATGATTCAAATCTAAACTTTCAAATCCTTATTTACATGTATATAGGTATAACTAAATATTCACTCAAACCAGTAAACTAAATACGTTCACATATATCTCTAAGTTTTCAATAATTTTCTACTTAATTTGTATTAAAACACACACAATTTTAATTGTCAAAAAGAAATACTGACGCTTATGTACTAAAAAAAATTGTTACTCTGTATTTTTACATTTTGTTTACAATGGTACAACAACATGCATTTTTCATAATTTATATAGATTTTATTTACTCTTTCATTATTTTGTTAAATTTGTTCACTATTAGTTTCAAACTTTCGATGAAGCTACCTTAATAACTCGAACGGCAAAACGCAAACTAGAACAATCCAAAACTATAAACGAAACACTAGAATTATAAACCTAAAAACAAAAATATAAGAACCCAAAATAAGCTTGACATAAAACTAAAGACAAAGAAACCGAGGAAGTTAGGAATCTATCCAATAGCTGAGATCAAGTGAGGTCTTAAGAAAGTGTAGTGACATAAAACTACAGCAAGTTTTAGATCAGAGAAGTGGATACATTCATATACAACTGTTGAGAGGCTGACTGCAAGACGTGAATTCTTCATGACATAGATAATTCATATTGGATGTTACACACCAGTTCGTATGGCCAAGGCAGGACACGCTTACTTTGTTAACGGCTGATGGTTTGTATTGTCATAGACAAGAAACGCTTAATTCCTTCGTTAATGGATTGAAGGTGTGCTCATTAACTGAAAACCTTGAGGTCAAGGCTAGGAAATGAGATGTCCCGTCAAAGAACTTTGTTACTCAAGAAATGGGTTTAAAAGGAGTTGTAACGCAGATTTTTAGATCATCTAGAAAATTTGGAAAAGTTCTTGGAAAAGTTCTCTAGCTTCGTTTATATTTTTCTTCTCATCTGTATTATTTTCTGAGAATTGAGCTGATCGTTGTCTAAAATCTATAATATTCTTCTATCATAGATTATTTACAAAATGAAAGGTAAATTCTTGTTTGATGAATATTTATTAATATGTTTCGGTTTGATTCAAACTTTTGTTGAGCGAGTTACAGTTTTCTTGTAGCACAAAGTGTTCCTATGTTGCACTGAGATGGATATGGAGACTGATACGTCAAAACCAAAAATATACAGATATGGGTACATCATATATATTAGTAAAAAGTATCTATAGAGAAAATAAAAATTGGGTCAGAAATCTAAAATAAAACAATTCTAAAACATAATATCATCTTGTTCACTGTAATAATCACCTTTTCCATCTAGAACTCACAAGAAAAAGAGAGAAAAACGTCACAGGAAACAAACTTGAGTCCTTTTCTAAGGAAAATGAGAGGAATATCGATATGTGCAAGGCTTTCAAGACAAAGTTTGTTCACTGAATCCTGCAGTAAGTCTTTTGACTTAAAATCAAGCAACATAAGAATAACACAAGCATTAGGTTCTGGGAAAACTAGTTTCACTTAACAACTAATTTCTCTAAACGTCCCCAAGCTGTCCCCATAATATCCCCGTGGAGTACCAACGGGACGATAACTAAAACCATGTCCCCGTGCTTCATAGAAGTGCTCTCCACCTTCCCCTAAACTCAATGGCTGCTCAGGAGCACCAATTCCAACTAATTTTCAAGGGATATAGAAGTGCTTGTTTGGGAATTTCATGAAGTTAGATTTGGACATTTGTACTTGAACTCGAGGTCAGAAACCAAATCTCAGTCTGTATTCAAATCGATCCATAAAAATATCTGAATGAAATCTATAGAGTGGTATTTAGGGTTATGAACATTATCCAAACCCGATTTAAACTCGAATATATCTTAAACCTCAAAAAAGCTCTGAATATCCAAATTAATCCCTGAAAACAGTACTCAGAACCAAAGTAAGTAATTCAAATAATCAATTTCATGTTTATTCTGGTATGATAACTAAAATAACTGAATCTAAAATGAGTTCCAAACCAAAATGGCTCTTAGATAGTGAGTTTAAAAATCTTCATGAACTCAAAAATTTTATTAACCAAACCCTGAACCTGACACGAACATATATAAAACTCGAATATTGCCTATATAGTTGAACCCGAAAACCTATAAATCATGATTCAAACCTAAATGAATATCCAAACTTCATGTTTACAAGTAATAGCCAATGGACCGATATATCAAACAAATAAACATAATAGAGAAATAAAACCCAATATTTTAAAGATTGGACCGATGAGGCTGGTTGGATCGGGTTCGACCATGAAGTGGACATGCAGTTGAATTATATTTCAATCAAAAACTGTCATAAACCATCAAAAATCTATGAATTGGATAACGCGAACAGATCGTTAACACTAGTTCACTAAAAGCGAACATATATAGACATACCATCGTCATATAATTATTAGCTAGCTAAAGTAATTTAATATACGTTTAACATATATTTGTTAGCCAATTAAGATGAATTAGGTCATTCTCGCCGACTTATTATCCTTTGCCGAAACATCTTCTCCATGAGCTCTTCCACGTCGTCGGCCCGTTCCCACACGCGTAGAGAAACAGTAAGTATACCAACTCAATGTTGGTGTGGTTCAAATCTTACCACTTTCGGAGCAAAAACAAAGGAGAACATGTTCCATCGGTTTTACATATGTGAAATAGGCGTCAGGGTATATGCTTTAATTCCAATTTTCCCAAACAATCACTTTATATATTAATCCCCTACTATGACCATATACTGTATTTTGTCATTTACTCGTTTACAGAGACAAACTGAAGACCATTTGTTCAAATGAGTAGACGATGCGATTGTTGATGAGATTAACATGGTCGAAGTTAAACTGTCTCAGCTACAGGCAGATTTCGCTTCTTTTATGAAGTCCACCATGCAGCGCTTTGAAAATCAGGAGAAATACCTCGATGACGCCATCCTTGACATGGAAAAACATCTCCAAGAGAAAACTACTCTTATGGCTGAAACAGTCCAATCTTCAGCCAAAGAAACATCAACTTTGTCTATTCAAAATAGTTTGGTGTCACAAACCCTCGACTCATATGTTGCCAAAACTAACTCACTACTTCTAAATATTGCTACTGCTACAGTTGTCTTAGGAACAATGACCTTCATCTATGCAAAACTCACTACCTAATTAGGCATATGTACCATTAACTCTTTTGCTAATTTGCTTCTTTATTATGTACTCTCTTGTTTATGTTACTTGTCTTTATCCCTTTGCTGAGGTTATGTCTAATCTCCTCCTGCTGTTATGTTCAAATCCTTAAGAAAGTTTGTTATGATGTTATTATTACTTTCTTTCTAATGCTATTTAGTGCAATGTCTCACATGCAATACACACAAGAGATCTCGACGCTTTGTACACAATCAAGAGAATCAATAACCATGAGTTACACATCAACAAAATTTAACAATAAAACAACTTTCAAATTTCACCATTCAAAAGTCAACTCAAAACGTCATTAGTTTGTCACTAAACCCGCCTTTGGAAAAGGATATTAAGAACAACATACCAAAATACATCGGTGAAAACAAAAATGTCATACAAAATGAAATCCCTTCCCACTAACAAAACATTCCCGTCTTCTCCTACATCGGGTTTGCGTAATTGGTTCGATTGTGTCTCCCAACCCCCCCCCCTCCCGACACCTCCCACATTTGTTGGGAACTAGTTTCTGTTTTGGTGCCTGAAACATTCAAAATAACAGCAAAATCTATGTGACTTCTAAAATAACCAACTTTTATTATCAAAAACATTCACAAACTCACCACTATTTCCCCGGTTTGTGGTATGCATGACTTGCGATGGCGTCCTGCTTGCCTTTTATCTGAGGGTATAACACCATAACGCTAACGTCTCTGGTATTTCAACATCTCTAGGATCACCCTCAGGGTTGACAACGCCTGTATATGTCTCCTTCCACGCTGCTGTTTTGTACCAATGTCCACACAAGGTCTTGTAACTAACACCAAACCCGTCTACTGCAATCAACGCATGACCGCAAGGTATCATCAAAATACCTACAACTGCACTGCTTAGTATCTAGCATCATAGTTTCTTTCCCTTCAAATTTCCCAACAATTTAGCACTCCAACTACAAACCTTGTTTATCTTACTGTCTTTGGCATTTTCCATGCTCGTCGTCATCTGTTTGTCCACTTCCACGCTCACATAACCTCTATGTTTATCAGTCTTTTTCCTTCTCGCACTAAACCACCTTGTCGTCATCCTTTGTATGAATGTTAACAACTCCACTATAGTGCCTCCCCTCCCCTCCAACAAAGCCTTGTTTAGTTGCTCAGCAATATTGTTGGTCATGATGTTATACCTTCCCCCTTCAAAACTTGCTCTTGACCACCTAGTAACGCCGATTTTCCCCAAATATACATCGCATGCACTGTTTCTAGCCCTTATTGCTATACAGCTCTTTGAATTCTCGTGGCCTATACGCCATTGCCGCTGCGGTAACCAATTTCGTTAAGTACTTACTTGAGTACCTAGAGTTAACATTCCTAGCCAAATGAACTATGCATGCTCCATGCTTAGCCTGAGGATAAAACTTACTCACAGCATTTGATATGCACATAGTCCTATCCGATATTATTGCTAAACTAGGTGAATCACCAAGAATCCTCTCCACTTTCTGGAGAAACCATGTCCACTCATCCTCGCTGTCAACAACATCAAATGCGAGCGAGAATATTTGAAAATTGGCATCCTGTCCGCTTGCGGTCAGCAAAACTCCCTTGTATTTTCCACTCAGGTGTTTCCATCAATCACCAATACAAGCCTAAGCTTCTGAAATCCTCTCAACGAGGCACCAAAGGCTACAAAACAATAGAGAAAACGTTCATCACCATCATCATCCACATCTGTATTCAAATCAGCAATTATACCAGGATTTGCAAGCTTTAACATATACAAATACTCTGCCAGCTTCAGGTAGGAGTCCTCATCAGAACCACGCATCCCCAAATTATTGTTTTCCTTCGTCCTATAGCATTTCATGTATGAAGCGTTCACATGCAGATCCTCCAACAATAGCTTTTTCAACTCCCTTGCTGCAGATGCCTTTGGCCGTTCCCCAAACTTTGCTTTGTAAACAATAACTATTACACGAAATGTTGTTCTACTGTTGTAGTTGTGTCTAAATTCTATTGGAAACCTATGATCAAGCTGAGCCTTCTTTATCTCATAGTAACCACAGCCTCTTATTTAATGCGCAGCTACACGCCAAGCACAACAACTATCAGGACACTCCACTACAAAAGAATCAACTTTCGTCCTAGTCTGCTTGAACTTAAACTGCTTCTTGATAGCATATATAGCTAAAGAAATTTGACAATCCTCTTTACTACCATACACATTTTCAACCGCTATTTCACCATCCACCTCATCCACATCCATGTCAGGGATCTCAGCCGCATCATATTTTGTATCATCAAACAGTGGAGGAATATCAAACTCCTCGTCATCAACATCTGAAAGTCGCCTAAATGGTAATCTTCTCCTATTGGAATCTCCTGGTAACTCAGAACCACCTTTCATCCAAGGATTATAATCCTCTGGCTCCTCCTTTTTACCCTTGTTTCCTCCCCATCCTCCTCGACCCAGTGAATAAAACAATTGTTTGTGTTGAAAAAGTGTGAACGCGGTCCATTTTTCTTTTTCAAACCCTCAACTCTTTGAAACTCATTCCTTCGCTAACCCTAACCATTCTTCCCATCTGATTCTTCTCTATCATAAAATCCCACTTGCCTCCTTCTCCACAAACCCAGTCACCACTTAGAACCAAACATTGCTCATCCATCGACAAAACTTGCCCGTAAAGCTTCTACGTCACAAAAAAAGAAATGAGAAATACAATATTATAGTCTCAACAATGTCAGTTTTTAAAAAAAAATTCACACAAACTTCAGCACCAAAATCAAAAGATTTAACCTTTCTCTTCCTTCACAGCTCCTTCACCGTCACAAAGAAAGAGGAATATCTCGTCTTTATTGTCCAAACCTACTTCTTTAAACTCAAATTGGTCAAAACCCTCACACCCTTGGATTATATTACATCCTACGACTGTAAGTTGTTCCTCTATCCCATAAACCAACCTTAATTAATCATACCAGGATACCTAACTTTATTATTCCAACGACATAAACTAATTTTCCCAAATCCAACCAAATTCAACTTCTTCCTCTTTCTCCAACCAAGATTATTCTCATAAACATAATGGAGAGAAAGAAGGGATAAGTGTCCCACCAGCTTTAAGTGTCTTATGTTGTCAAAAAAGACAACAATGTATCCTAGAGGGTAACACACTCATGATCATTTTATCACATAACTAGTTAATATGCCCCATGTCTCATTAAAGTTCTATTTTTAAAAATTACCTAACTATTATGAATTTTATTCACCAATAGCTCCAAATTTTAATAGTCTTTCACAAATATCTTGTTATTTTAATCTATTAACTAGAGTTTGACCCGTTCGGGCGAACGGATATTTGTTTTTAATCTTTGTATAAATTAATATTTATTTTCCATAATTAGTACTCCCTCCGTTTCAGTTTAATTGTCATTCTAGGTTTTTGCACACAGATTAAGAAAACATTTAATTTTACATATTTTCAATATAAAACATAATTACCAACACACCTAACCACTTTTCAACCAATAGAAATATAGAATATCATATAAACCTAATAAATTTTGTCTCGAAACTCTAAAACGACACTTATTTTGAAACGAAAATTTTCTTCTAGAATGACATCTAATTCGAAACGGAGGGAGTATTATATATTTTATGTACCCAAACCTGTGAGGATCTAACTCAAAACTCACCCAAAAGTTTATAATATTTGAACGAAACCTAATTTAAAAATCCAAAAATATTTTGATATCCAAAAAAATAATATGTGCCCGGACATATACCTCCATGCCTAATTGATTCTCTAAATAAATAAATAAAATTATTTTAACCATTTTGAATCCTTGTCACAAATAGAGGCATTTCATTCAAACATATCAAATTATATGGTTAATATGTAAAATAAATGTTGTCTAATTACTTTGGTAAAAAGACTAATGAAATAGTTAAGAAGAATAAAATGTAATAAAATATTTAAAAATAGGTAAGTTCTGTTTTATACTTATGTAATAAATGCTGTCAATTTATTTTAAAAATACAATAAATAAAATGATTAGAATCTATATAATAATAGTACACTTTTGAAGCTCCTCAGCGTGTCCATGTCAGCAAGTTTGCGAGCCTGCGCGTGTTATTAGGGAAAACAAAAACGTATAACATTTTGTAAGATTGAATGTTATTGACGAGTGATGAAATGGCCCAGTGGTGTAAGTTGGTGACGAGAAGTTGGTACCATGAGTGCGCTGGTTCGAAACGCAGTGCTTGCAT